TTCTTTAACCGATAGACCTTCCCAACATAGTTGTCAAATCGGGATTCATATCGTGAATCGAAATGGTCTCATACCGAATCGCGAATCGAACCGAATCGTGAATCGTAAAGATTCGGTCAGTTCTTCTAAATTATTTAAAAACATATATTTACACATTTAGATGTTAAATATATCTTATGAATATAAAATATTTAGACTTAAATCAATAAAAATGTTATTTTGAATGATAATCACATAGTTTAATAAGTAAGAAGTTAACAAACGTTCTTATGTAAGATCACCATCTTACATTTTTTTTCTTTTTTAGATATTTCTTATCAACTATTCTTAATAAAAATAATAACCAAATAGAGAAACTATCAATTTTTAAAGTAACAATAAGCATACATACTTTTCTAAGTAACAGTGAGCAAATAATAAGAAAGAATCATTTAGAATCTTTTTTTTTAAAGCTTAAAATATTTTAAAAAGTATAACTGACTTCATAGATGTAATATTTAATTTAATAAAATAGCAATAGATAATTCATAGTGTAATTTTAATCCATCTTTAGAAAATATATTACGATTTTTTAAAGGAAAAAAAAAATGAGAAGAAAGGTTAAACATATGTTGGGTCTGACTAAAATTAATTGGATCCTATTAAAACCTTCATGATCACTAAAATAACAACAAATTATGTATATATGCTGGTTATTTTGGTATTAAACGCTATTAGAAGTTGTATTATGTCATTTTTACTAAAAAGATGGAGGAAAAATAGAGTTGAAAATATGTCAGAAATAATAATTTTAAAAATTGCATGAATCGTAAAAAGCGAATCAAATCATAAATCGATTGTGAATCGTGCGATTCACTAGAGATTCACTTCTAAAATAGATTCACCCTTAGATTCGTATCGATTTTGCAAAAATTGCAAATCGAATCGTGAATCGAATCGCGAATCATAAGATTCTGATAACAGAGCTTCCCAACAACAGTTGGAGAGGAAAACCTAGTAGGAGCATCCATGTACACTTCTTCACCTAAATCACCATGGAAAAAAGCATTCTTTACATCCAATTGTTGCAATGGCCACCCCAGATTCGCTGCACAAGAAGGCAAGACACGGATAGAATTCATCTTAGTCATCAGAGCAAAGGTCTTCTGATAGTCAATGTCATAAGTTTGAGTGAACCCTTTAGCAACTAGTCTCGCCTTATATCGTTCAATGGTTCCATCTGCTCGTTGCTTAATGGTGAACACCCATTTGTAGCCCACAGGCCTTTTTCCCGATGGTAGAAAAACTAACTCCCAAGTGTTATTCTTACTCAGAACTCTCATCCCTTCTTCCATAGCTTCTTTCTACTTGGGATCATTAAGTGCTTCCTTCCAACCCTGCGAAATAGATACAGAAGACAAAGACGAAACAAATGCACGATATGATGGAGATAAGGAGTCATACGACACAAAATTAGAAACAGAATGTTGAGTACAAATTCTAACTCCTTTCCTACTAGTAATAGGAAGATTAAGATCATCAACGGGAATAGGAGTAGTGGCCAAGGACTCATTACCTAAAGGATCCACAGACAGAATAGTAACTGGATTCGGATGTGGCGATGGGCATAGAAGCACATGAGATGGCTGTTCTTTTTGTCGCCGAGTGTAAGTCCTGAGATCTAGTCTATCCGACCTACTAGACTCGCCCTGAATACGTTCAGTTTGCACCTCTCCCTCATTACAAATGATAGAGAAAAAAGGATCAGAAGAAACAATCTCTTATGTAAAAGCCTCCCCCTGAAGAGATTGACTCGAAAAAAAGGATTCAGACTCACAAAAAATAACATCCATAGTAACATAGAATTTACGAAAGTGAGGATCATAACACTTATAGTCTTTCTGGGTGGAGGAATAACCGAGAAAAACACAACGCATAGCCTTTGGATCTAGTTTGCTCCGAGTGAGGCGAGAGGAATGAACAAAACAGACACAACCAAATACTTTAGGAGAAAGAGAGATGGGAGACACAGAAGTGTGAGGGAGAAAATCAAGAGGGTGCTGCAACTGAAGAACACTAGAAGGCATGCGGTTAATAAGATAAGCAGTGGTAAGAACCGCATCACCCCAAAATTGTTTAGGAACTTGCATCGTGAACATAAGAGCATGCGCAACCTTAAGAAGATGACGGTTTTTCTGTTCAACAACACCATTCTGTTCAAGAGTACCGACACAACTAGTTTGATAAAGGATACCATGTTCTGCGAGATACACACGAAAGTCACCATCAGTATATTCAGTGCCACTGTCACTCTGAAAGGCTTTAATGGGAGTGGCAAACTGAGCATCTTATGGAATGTTTTAAAACAAGAGAAAACTTCACTCTTGGTACGAAGCATGTTCGTAGGATCGTAAGATCCGGATCGGGATTCTGATAACCATGATCTTATGGAATGTTTTAAAACAAGAGAAAACTTCACTCTTGGTACGAAGCATGTAAATCCAAGTGACACGAGAATAACAATCAATAAAAGTGACAAACCAACGATAGCCAGATACAGACATAACACGAGAAAGACTCCATACATCAAAATGAATAACTATGAAGGGTAATAAACTTCTTTTATTAATTAGAAGATAACAAGAACGTTCATGCTTGGCAAACTCATAAGTATCATAATGAAACTTACTTCTAGCACAATGTTTCACTAAACTAGGGAGAAGTTTGTCTAAAATAAAAATGGGGGGATGCCCTAAACGCCGATGCCACTGATGTAAAAGTGAGGCCTGGAGGGCCGATAGTCTGAAGAGCTTGTCTAGCGGAGGAAGATTCAGCATCCAAAACATGCAGGCCCTCATGTGCTTTACCACTATCAATCGTTCTCCCCGTATAGAGTTCCTGAAAGACACAATGAGAAGGATAAAAGGTTATGGAACAATTTAAAGAAATGGTAAGACGACTAACAGAGAGTAAGTTAGTAGAAAAATTTGGGACATGTAAAACTGATAATAGAGAAATAGAAGAACAATGAATAGAGCCTGTCCCAGAGACAGGGGATAAAGACCCATCCGCAACTCTCACTTTATACTTGCTGGAACAAGAGGAGTAAGAGTGGAAAAGATTAAACAAATTGTCATATGATTGGTAGCACCAAAGTCAATAATCTAAGGAGATGATGAGACAACACTCTAGGGCATGCGAAGGAATACCTGTGGAAACAAAGTTGGAGGAAAGGGGATCAAAAGTAGTGGCAGGAGAAGAATCAAGTCTAGCCATCAGACGCCGGAGAGCATGTAACTTGTCTTGGGAAAGCGCTACGGATCACTCAAAGTATTAGGAGATGACTCCAAGAGATGTGCATGAGAGCGAACAATACCCACCACGATGACCACGACCACCACCTCGTCCTCGAGTAGGACGGCCATGCAACTTTCAACAATGGTCCCGATCATGACGTTCTTTCCCACGATAATCACAAATGATCTGATCATTAGAGGAGCCTTTTCCTCCAGACTTGGATTGACCAACTTTTGCATCTGTAGGAGCAGAAGAGACGGCTAGAGCAGGGATACTCCATGTTGAGACCTACAAGGAAGTTGTACACACGCTCTTTGGACACCATTTGCTGAAACATAGTTGCATCTTGGGAACACACAGCCTGAAAATTTTGATAATAGTCAAGTTCCTGCCAGAAACTACTTAACTCTAAATAATACTCAGCGAGAGATTTGTCTTTCTGATCAAAGCCCCGAATCTTTTTCTGCAGTTCGTAGGCTTGAGCATCATTACCTCGTCGGGAATACATCTAATTTGCAGCAGTCCAAATCTCATAACCAGTGTCCATCAAAACAAAGGGCTGACTAATATTAGAATGAATGGAATTGAGTAACCAGGTCATAACCAGGGCATTGTCCTTATTCCATTTGTCACGTGCTGTTCCATCCTCCATGGGAGCCTTAGTAACGCCTTTGGGCCATGTTTGATTCACAATACTAATAGTGAGGTATTAATAATCCTATCAAATTAGTGTGGTATTAACTATCCCACCCCTACCCCATTACTAATTATCCTACAAATTTGTTGGATTAATTATCCATTGGATTAATAGTCCTAAACCAAATGTCAAAACAAACATAGGATGGTTGAGCCCACGGATTAATAATCCTAATCCCATACTTTAATCCTTCCAATCAAACATGCCCTTGATGTATCCCAACAGGCCACGAGCAATAATAGCCAACTGAAAAGAATGGGACCACACTCAGTAATTGGTGCCATCCAACTTAATAGAAGTAAGTCGAAGAGAAGAGTTGTCACCAAGCATCACATTAGGACCTAAACTTTTAGTCTCATTGCAGGCAGGAATGACACCTTTGGCAAATTGGCAATCATTAGTTAAGACCACACAACCAGATTAAAATTGAGATGAATAGAGAACAAAACTCTGTTTGGAAGTATAATTCTCAGTACACCATTTATATCATTCAGATATAAATTTTTTGACGTAAGTGTAAAGTTGGGACATAAACTTATGAATAAAAAGCAATTTCAAACATAAACAGTTGAACGGAACATATATTTAAACAATTTATTTTTGTTCGTCGGTTTATGTTCGAACATTTGCATTTTGTTTGAAATAGAATTTCCCGTTCATCATTTGTGTTGACCATGGATTTAGTTAGGAGGGTCCTATTTCTTTGCTTTCAGCAAGGAAGGCCTTTCTACCCCCTACCCGTATCCTTTTATCATTTGTGGATTGCGAAGATTTACAAATAAATGGCTATCCGTAGAAATTGTCTGGATTGGTTTGAAAATTTGTTGCATTGTAAAATTCAATCATGTCTATCTCAAAATATTATTTGCTCTCTCGTTTTGGGATCAGTAGGAGATCTATGTTAGTGGTAAATTGTCATGCCTTCCTAATCAAAGTATAATTGCCTATTCTTTGTATTTATTAGCTCCTGGAAATTTATTATTTATTGTCATTAAGTTCACATGAATCGAATTTATTTGATCCTTAGCAGATGAGCCAATGCCCAGTTCTAGAAGAGGGGGTGTCCGTGAACATGACTAAAATTCAAGTGCAATTAATGAGAAAGACCTATGCTACATGATCAATTCAACTTTCTGCAGAACAATTACATGTGCAATGAGGTCTGCTGCATCTAGAATAAGGGGAGGATTCGCAGTGGAGCTACGCACCTAACATCCTTGCATTTGGACTCTATTACATGGGAGATATACCATTATACAACTGTAGATGTCACACAGAAGCAATAACATGGAACTGTCTTTAGTGTAGCTGAGCATCAAATTTCTCTTTTACCAGATCAGATTTAACATTTGTACATGACATATATGATGATCAAAACAGTATGGCTGCACAGTCCTAAATTTAATTCTTGTATAGGTATAATTACTCACATTCTACACTTACCCCTGATGTGATGAGAATATCTCTAAGGCTTAAGTTGCTTAATTTGTAGGTTGCAACCTCTAGTTGTTAGTTGCAAGCAGTCCTGAATGACGTGAAGCTGGGAATATATAAGATATGTAAGGAATGTGCAAGTTGCATACCACCTCCTCTATACTCTATAATTAGTTGTAACATTTGACGCACCTTATGTTTTCAAGTGAAACCTCCAATAGAGTCATCATCATGATTTTAATGATTCTTTAATATCCTTTGCCAACAAAGAGTTATCTTTAATTGTAACCCAAGAGGTTGGTCTGGTGGCAAGGCTTTGGGTCTTAGGGGTGTGCTTGCTTCAAGATTCAAGAATCTAAATCTCTTAAGTGCTAACAATTCCTGGGGTATCAGACTGGAAAAAGAACTCTTGAATTAATCACAAAAAAAAAGAGAAGAAAGTTGTCTTTAATTGCCCCACCAACATTTATTTTAAAACCAGTATTGACTTCAGAATTAATCATAATTAAGTAAAACACGCAATACAACTAAAAAATTAATTAAATTCTTTTTAGTTTTGTTGATGGGGGAGTTGTGGGGGGGGGGGGGGGGAGTATTGGTGATGGATATTGATGCATTTCCTTTTCCACAGCTAATCAGAGGCCACCCATTGACATAATTATGACTTGAATAGATAAAAATAGTTTTCTAATTGTCTTGTGTTAGGATCTAACAAGCAAGAGGGCCGATTTTCATGAACTACCACCACATTATTACCATTCTTATCCAAGCAAGCCTCTTCTCAACTCATTTGAAGTAAGTCTATACTATTCTAAAATCCTTCTGCTTCTTGGGATGCCATGCCTCTTGAATGTGTGACTACACTTCCTGAATTTTCTTTCCCATGCCAACTCACATAACATCTACGTTTTTTAATAAGCTCTCCTCTATATATTCATCTCTCCATACCCCTTTGGTAGGCCCTAATTCGGATTTTCACCGATAATTCAAATCATTTATCTCGTAAGATTCACAATAAAGTGCATCTATACAAAAAAATAAGTTTCATTAGAAAATTATAAATTTAAGAAAAAATTGCATTTTGTTTGCTTCATCAACTTCACTTTATTCTCCCATAGTATTAGCCATGTGCGGATCACCCCCTAACGTTTGAATATCACCACATAATTCCCTCTGTGGTTGATGGAGTAAAGTGCACAGTTAGTTTTTCCATCTATTCTAACAGGCTGTGCAATACACGCGAGGGTTGTACAATTGGTCATGGAAAGATGATTTTTCATCCGAATTAAATGACTACAATGCCCTCATCTTCATCACCAATTTCCAAAGCAGCCTTTCTTCATTTTTCAAAACTCAGATCTGAAAATCTCTATCCAGAAGAAGAACAAAAAAATCACTATTTGAAGCATAGAGAAAACACTAAAGCAATCACATAGGATGATTACTAGGTATTATAAGTATAATATAATGCCTTTGTTAAAAAAGAAAAAAGAGAAGAACATGGTTCATTTTGGAATTATTATTATTATAAATACATGAAGAACATAGAAACCAACAAAGGCTGCAGCACTGTCGAAGAATTTCCGAATCGAGATTTGAAACATAAGCGATACAAAGGCTATATAAAAACTCTACAAGTTCTGATTCTCCCTTAATCAGCTATATATTCTTGAGTTGTACTCTTTGCCCTCATTTTTCAATTATCCTTTCAAATATACCTTATTACCACAATCTGATTCCTCCAAAAGCAAATTAAACCTTGGATATTCAGAACCTTGAATACAAAAGCAGATGAACCTTGGATATTCATAAACCCAGCTCCAAAAATCAGCTTTCCTTCTCTCAGCCTTTCTCTCGCTCTCATTCTCTCTAACTCCTCTCTCTCTCCCTTCTCTTCTCAAATGCACAACTGTTGAATGAGAAATGGTAAACAAGGGTTATATATATAAGGGCAAAATAGTCTTTTTACTCTTGCCATTGACGGTGTTAACTGTGCACATTTCTCCATTAACTACAAGGGGGTTATGTGGTGATATTCGAACGTCAGGGGATAATCCGCAAATAGTCCAAACCATAGGGGGGTAAAGTGAAGTTTGCCCAATTATAAATTTAGGAAAAAATCGCATTTTGTTTTATAAAATAAACGACAAATGTGATTGTAAATTTCATTTTATAAAATAAAATGATTTTTGTTCTTATGTTTATAATTTTCCGATAAAAATTATTATTTTTTACATGAATAACCTTTATTACGAAACTTACAAGATAGACGATCTGAATCATCGGTGTGAATCCGAATTAGGGCCTACAAGAGGGATATGGAGAGGTACAACAAGATGAAGATATGGAAGAGGTATGAAGAGATGAAGATATGAAAGAGAGCCTATTCCCTAGATTCCTGGTCATTTTCCAAGTCTATCTTTTCCACACAACTTGAACTTCATATTTTTCCCTTTTGGCTTTTCCCTTCGACATTACTCTGTGAACAAGGTCGTTTTAATTCATGGGCGTGGTTGATGCTGTTTCCTAGAGCTCGCCGATGACCAATGACCTACCAAACAGAAGGTATCAAAAAGGGGACACTAGTGTGGTGCCAATGGATGCCCCTCCGATGATTGCGTCAGAATAAAATTTTCTAGTGAAAAGTAATCCAATCACTTAAAATAATTGCTGCATTGTTGTGTACCTTCTTATGGGGAGTGTGATCCATTTTATAGTGTTCTAATGGTATCAGTTACAGGGTCAATCCCACATATTATTAGGCGTGTTGTTGACTATACAAATTCTCTTTATTCACTCTACTGTCTCAGCTGTAGAGGGAGCCATGGATATAGAGTACACTAGTCGTTAGTCATATGGGGAGTTGGCTTTAATCGAGTTACCTTTCATTTCTGTATCTTTCTCGTCCTCATCATCGATCAGTCATGGGTGTAGAGAACAGATCAGTCGTAACATGAAAGTATATGTGACACAGTGACAACATGCTGGTTATGAGCCTTAAGGTTTCTTAGTACGTTGCGACCTCAACAAAGCTTTTTCAGTTTTGAAAAAAAGAAAATACAACATGAAGCTCAATAGTGTTTTGATGAATTCTACATGGCTAAGATCTCTTGTGAGTACTTTAGTGCAACATTTGAATAGGGTAAACTTGAACCATTCTCCTTTACTTTGTTCCTGTATGTTTGATTGTGATGCTGCCCTGAAGCCTTTTTGGTTTTAGCATAGATGGTGTAAGCATACGGATTTCCTTTTGGTGGTTGAGCAGAGTTACTATGTTCCTTTGGATGGTGTCTATAAAATAAGTTTTGGGCCATAAGCTTCAGCAGTTAAAGGAGTTGCGGAATTGGAATGTCAATGCGTCTCATAATGTTTTTCAGAATTTTGACGATGTGGAGGATGATATTTTTGCCAAGGAGATTGCTCTTGAATCTGATAACTTCTTCAGTCTAGGGTGGATGTTAGTGTTTATAATGCTCATTTACTGAGGGTAAAAGTTCCATCAAAAGTGGTTGAATGAGGGGGATTGAAGCACCAAGTTCTTTCATCATTCACTTGAGGATGCTCGTGAAAGCCTTATGGTTTTTCGAATCAAGAATGGTGAGGGTAGACGTCTTGATAATCCGGTTGATGTCAAGCCTGAGATGGTTTCTCTTTTCTGGACTCATTTGTCAATAGGACCTGTCTTGATAATCCGGTTGATGTTATTTGTCAATAGAAGAACCTGTTTTGAGTTCTAATTAGGAACTAGTGGACATTATTCCCAAGTTGGTGACGGATGAGGATAATGCCATGTTCTTTTCAAAGCTCATTTGTTAAGGCTGGTATATCCTTTTGCTATTTTTCATTTTTGGTGAATGAGATGGAGGGTTTTTTCCGGTCCTCTCGGGCCTTCGTCAAGGTGACCCTTTATCCCCACCTTTGTTCATTATTGCGGTTGAGGTTCTTGATGAAGATCTTTCAAGGGCAGGTCAAATGATTTTTCAAGCCACAAGTTTGCCACCAGATCTCTCATTTTTTGTTTTGCAGATAATATTTTAATTTTTCATATGATTGTAAAATCTTTCTTCAAAGGTTAATGAACTTCTTGAGGGATTATGAATCATTTTGGGGGCAGCTTGTTAACAGAGGAAAAAGTTGTGCTGTCTTATAAAGCTTCCATTACCAGGCTCGTATTGTGGTTGTTGCTACTGGTTTCATTCGAAAAAAGTGTTCTAATAATTACTTGGGTGTCCTATTTACATGGGAAGGAAGAAGTGTAATCTTCTGGATGGTATTGCGGAAAAAATGAGGTTGAAAGTGGATGGGTGGAAGTCTAAGTTGTTATCTGCGAGTCTAGATTAATTTTGATTTGGCATGTGCTTCAAAGTATGTTCCTGTTTGTGCTCGTGGCTTTGGATGTGCCTCGGTGCATTGTTAATGATATTGAAAAGATTTCAGAACTATTTACACAAGTTATCTAGAAACCCAATGATTGCTAGGTGATCCCTGGGTCAAGCAAAATTGATGAGGTTTCTAGAAGGTAGAAATCAGCCCGAGATTGATAGGAGATTCATCCTTGCTAAAAGGTTGCCTGTTACATTTTATAAGAAGCAATTGATTGTTCACTAATGAGGAATGATCATTGGCACGGAAATTTGAATTCCTTTCCTAAATTAGATTTGAAACCTTAAAGTTCTATAAACACTTCATATTAGGGTATCCCAACCATTGTTTTAAACAGTTGTTTTCTATCTAAGCTCTAGAAAAAATTTTGAGATCAAGATCTAATTCAAGAAAGAGATTTTTCTGAGTGATTGTTTTCAAAAACCCTCATATCATTGCACTATTCAATAATGCTACCCAAGGTCAATTGGGTAATCATAGCCATTCAAGAATGGAGATCAAGTTGTGGAGCTTTGTGGTGTACGATGGATCTAGAACACTAACAAGGTTAGGTTGTGCTTGTGAGGCTTCCTCAAGAGATGGGTAAACTTATGTTATTGGTTGCTAGTCTTTCCTTTGTCTTGTTCTTTGATTTATGTAATGATTTTTCCAGTCGAGTTTTTCACGTAAATTTTTTTCATTGCATTAATTATTTGTGTTGATTAATTTATCTCACAGTAAATTAAAAGTGAGAATTATATTTTTTTAAATAACCATAAATTTGAGAAATTGGCCTATTCAACCCCTCTAGGCAGAATCCATTTGAGCTTCGATATTTCAATGAGGTTGTCCAAAGGAAAGGTATTT